CTTTTTTGAAGTTTTCTACAAATTGTTAAACTTGGGTTTATATGGGGTTTGTTAGAGAAAGAACTGTATTTTAATTGAAAATTCTTAAAAATAAATAAATAAACATAAGTTGCACAAAATATCACTTTGAAATGGCGTGCTATAGATATGACCGATACTGTATGTGAAATCAATGATAATTAATGATTATTCGATTGATGTTTTAATCAGTTAGTTAATTCGATTAAATTCAATCTGATTACAGCTAATCATGATTAATTTTAATCTGACTAAACAGTTAATCGTAATCGCGATTAAAAAATTAATTTTTAATCATTAACTCTTAATTTGATCAAGTAGGTTTGGTGATTAATTAAGTTATGCTGGAATTTCCCTGTGCACACAAAGCAAGTTAATCCGGTATGGCTATGTCGGGCTTCCTCATCAATCTAAGCAATTTGGTGTGCATTTTCATTAAGATATATACCAACAAACGTTTTACAAACTAGGTTTGTAAAAGTTCCCAGTTTATGTATTACTAATAACAATATTTATAATTTTTTATATTATGTGCTTTTTATAAGCGTAAAACACAAAATAATTACTATAACTGGTGTTAGGTTTCAAACTCGGACAAACTAGACAAATTAATCAGGTTTTATTTTTAATTGGATTAACGATTAATGTTTTAAATTAATTAAACGTAATCGCAGCCAGCGATTAACGATTAAAAATGTTATCATTAATCGTACAGTTGATTACGACTAATTAATTTTAATCGTCAAACGCGATTAACATTTTAATCGTTAATTTTTAATCGTTAATCAGATTAACAGTTTACCAACACTGTGTGAAATCATGTTCATATTGACGGAGAAAAATGGACGTTTTTGGAAAAGAGGCGTAGCACCTCCCATACTGACTGAAAGTTTCATATTGCATATCTCTTCAAATGTTTGGGGTAAAGCACTCAAGCTTGGTATGGAAATACATATGTATGTACGTACAGTTACGAGCAAAACTGTAACATGGTGTGACACTTTTTAATTCAGCCATCACTATATTTCTTGTTGGTGTAATTTATTGAAGAAGTGATCACCAGTAAATAATATAGTTAATCAGGAACCATAAATATAAATAATAGATTTACTGCGGAAAGGCGGGACCGCACGAAAAGTGGCAAACAATTTTGGAATTTGCTACTTGAAAATGTTAAGACTGAGAAAAAATATAGCCTAAAGTGTTCCCATGGACAAAGGAAGTCTGTCAAAAAATATTACGGTACAATATCTTGTGAACTTAGTAGCAAGTAGCGATGCAGCCACTATTACAGAAGCGCTTAAGGTATTACACTTTAACGCAAATCAATGGACAGCGAGGCGAAGAATTCCCAAATTGAGCGCTAAGGCATCATAAAGAAGAAAAAAGCAAATTTGTTAAAAATACATGTGCGAATGCGGCAGCATTTTGCTGTATCGCACGGAAACTGAACCGTTTCCTATTGGGACATGTTAGACCGTTCAGAATGCAATAAAAAACATATTTTTAAGTTTCAATTGAAGGTTATTTGGTCCGAAAAGACTAAATTAATCGCTTTCAATCAGATGGCCGGGCATGGTATTGGGTAAAAGACCCAAATTAAGCCCATGCGCAGCATGTAAGGCAAACTGTGAATCACGGTGGTCGGTCAATAATAGTTTGGGGTTGTATTTAAAAAATTTTGTTTGTCCGTTAGTGCACATTATGTGTAAGGAACAGTATCTGTTCATATTTCAATAAAATTTGCAAGATCTAGTCGAAAAAATGAGAGTTTCTGCTGAAAAATCACCCTAAACACATTGCACATATTCGCAAAGACTGGATACAAAAGGAAAAATTTGCTAATTTCAAATGACCTCTTCAATCCGCGGACATGAATCTCATTGAGAATTTGCGAAAACAACTAAAAGCACAGCTTACTTAGTATCCAAGTCCGTAAAATCGAGTACATGAGCTGTGAAAGCAAGCTAAGGATATACCTCCAGAATTTTTACAGAGATACAAATAAGGTATGCCAAATCGTTTCCAGGAACTGAAACAAGCAAAAGAGTACTGAACATTGTGTTAGTAGTTCTTTTTTTTCGTGAAAATTGTTAAAAAGTTCTAAAAAATGTATGAGTGCAAAACTGTAACATCTGCCTTAATTTACATTTTTGTCAGCTGGTTTTTTTATTGTTGTTGTATTGGCTTCAAATCGTTATGAGAGAGGGAGTAGGGATGTACCAACAAGAATATACAACAAAAGTATGAAAGTTTTTAGAACTTGGAAAGATAGCGATGGCTGAAGTAAAAAGTGTTACACCATGTTACAGTTTTGCCTGTCACTGTATGTGAAACTAATACCATACTCATGGACAAAAATGAGAGTTATTGGAAAAGGTGGTGTGGCAACTCCCATGCAAATTGATTTTTCTATTTACTGTTTTATACTGCTTATCTCTAAAGGTGTTCAAAGTAGAGTACTGGGACTTGGTACTGGGGTATGTAAAATCCATTCTAAATTCATGGAAGAAGATTAGGGTTATAAGAAAAAGGTGCGTGGCACTTCCAGTACAAATTTACTTTTTCTTGCCACATATCCCTGGAAGTGTTTGTGGAAGAATACTGGAACTTGGTATGGAGTTGTGTATGCAAAATGTATCAATTGCTCATGGAAAAAATGTGAGTTATTAAAAAAGGAGGCATGTCGCCTACCATACATATTAAAAACTTCTTAATACATATTTCTGGAAGGATAGAAAACCTCTCGAAGTATTTTAAATTTGTTATGGAGATTTATTTTATAAGTGCCGTACTGACAGAATAAATTTCATTAAATGGAAAAGGAGAGCCGGGTTCAGCCTTATAATCTAAAGCTCTCTTGAGGCATTCGCTACGGTAATGAGAAGTGGTATTTTATCAAGGCCAGGTTACTAAATTTGAGTTGGAAATATTAGAACCCGCCGTGGCACCTCCAAGAAGGTTACACGTTCACGCGTCGTATACCTGGAACCATTTTAAGGTAAACTTAGAGGGATTGATGTCTTTCGTATGCCCAGCGAGCAGACGAGATTTTATAATTTCATAGTTTTAAACGGCCTAAATACCTTAACTCGCTTAAAAAATAACGAGCTATAACGAAATGGGCACAGAAATAAAATCTAACATCATTAAATTTTTTTTTCATATTTGTAAAAAACGCGGGGTGAAACCCGCGGGTATAAGCTAGTTGTTAATAAACGAAAAAGACGCTTAAAAATGAGCTGATTTTTATGGCTTTGTACTGATTTTTGATCCCAACTGTACTGATTATGTCACTAAAATATCTGGCCACCCTACTTATACGCAAAATAGACAAAAGGTGTGTACTCGTATTGAGAGGACAAAATTCTCCAGTAGCAAAAGTTCTGAGAAGTTAGCAGCATTCGCTCTCAAAGAGACGAAATATCAACAGAAGTACGAGAACGCAAAATTTGCAAAAACTTGCAACCTTCGAAACAGCTGATCACTTGCACAGTTGCCACTGGTGATTAATTTGGCAATTTATTTTCTGTTTGGTACATTTTCCCCCGATTTGGCATTTTATACAATTGAATAGTTTTCGATAAGAAAAACCTTTTTAAAATACAAATTAATTATATCGGAATGAATAAGTTATTTTCTCATAATTATTTGTGATATCACATGGTGACGCATTCAAAAACAAGAGTACCTCCTCCAAACACCCATCATTGATCCAAAAAAATGTAATAGATATAGCTACAGATGTAGCTTTAAAATTATAAATTTTTCATTTCAACAACCAACCTACCAGAACCGAAAACTTCAGCAAAACAACATTTAACATGCTGCATTTAAATCTATTTTGGTATATTTGAAAGAAAATTATGGTACAAACGAAAAATGTCATACGGCAACCATAGTCAGCACACACTAAAGTAAACAAACTGGAGATTAATAGCAAATTAACGAAAAATAAACTCAACAAACGTTGTGCTTATTAAATTTACTCACTTTTTCGTTGTATGCTAGCATTAATAATAAAATTTGCAATAAATAACTCAAAAAGGCCATATTTTCTTTTGTTTATTTACAAACATGTGTTTGTGATCAGCTGATTTTCTTACTTGCAAGTTTTAGCTGGGAAAAATTTTTCCAGCAGAAATTAGGTGCGTTCGACAAGTCAAAAACTTGTAATAGTTTTTCCAAATTTTTACTGGATGGCGTTCGATAACGACAAAAAATTATCCAACACACAAAAATTGAGAGAGCAAGCGTTCATTTTGATGCGAGAGAAGCGTTCATTTTGTACTGGCAAAATTTTAGTCAGCAAAAATTATCCAACACGAAAACATATGATCACAAAACATATGGTTGCAATTTTTGTAAACAAACAAAATTGCATTTTCCGAGTTTTGGTATTTATATGCTTTTTGGCTGCCTGCTATGTGACTTTATGATAGCGCCAACTAGTTTTTACTTCTAGAAATGTTCCTGGCGAACATTGAACGTTCACTTTCCTTTTTTCTTCTATGGAGGCAACATGAATTTCAGTTTGTTTACAAATAAAACATAAACAAAGTCAACTGGTGTGTCTTCTTCTTCCGGTTTTTGCAAGTAATGGCTAATTTCCTGTTTGTTTACTTTTTTGCTTTTTCATCTCTTTGGGAGAGAATTTTGGCTTAGTCTCTTGATTTTGATTGTTGGCTGGTGTTGGCTAATTTTGTTATCGAACGCAACTATTTGCAGCTCTTTTTCACATTTTGCTCTCTCAATTTCCTCTACTTTGCAAGTTTTTTGGGTACGAGAACGCAGAACCAGTAAAAGTTTTCTAAAACTTTAGATAGTTGGACGTACGAGTACACTCCTAAAGTATATTTAGATTTACTAATTTTAATTTAAGTATAGTCACAAAGTTAATATGTATATTCAAATCAAATAAGTTCAAAGATATACATATGTATCGCACAAAAAATTATTTCTAAGAAAATAAGCACTTCACCGCTTGCACAAATCCGCTACTACGTCCTATCGCTTGGCTGATGAAATTGAATGGTAGATGTGGTAGGCGTCCGATCACTGTCTCTGATAGCGGATTTCCATAAGTCTGGTAACAATTAGAGATAGGGGAATGAAACAAAAATGGCACAAATGTTTCACTGAATTGGACAAAATAGCCGCGAAAGATCAAAAGAAACATAACTGAACTTTTGTTATATATTTTGAGTGGCGTTAATTATATATGGTACATATTTTTAATTATTTGAGGTGTTCGTTATCACTTAATTATAAATTGGTATAGTATTGTCGCACACCTGCAATGGCGCGGCACGATAACATTGCGACGCAAAGTCAAGCTTCCAGCATTTGGGGCCAGACACAAAGCCAGCCGATCGAGAATATAATTTGGGGGCGCCTATATGGAAAGAATATAAAAATGAATTCGATTGGTAAGTTAAAAGACAGTGAGCTTACTATTCTAATTTTTTTAAATGCCTATCCAATTATCTATGTATATAAAGACAAACATCTTGCAGCAGTATACATTCGCATGTTTCACGGAGGGGCTGTGGTCATTGGCTAGATTTATCGCTGACGAACCTTTTTTTTTTTATATAACCCAGTGACGATCTATCCTAAGACCTATGGCAATTTTATAAAAATTATAAATATTTTTTAGATCTGAATTCCGACGAGTTTACTGCTGGTCGCGGCGATGGAAGTAATTTGATGCTAACACTAGATTATTTGCCTGAAAGAATACTGTACCGAATATCAAAAGTACATTTTACATTAAAACGTGCTAATTGCGATATTTCCAATCCAGTGTATATACAAGTATGTTAACATGAACGGAGTTGAAGTACTTCTTATTTGAAACTTATCTTTTAAGGACAACTCTCGCAATGGTACCTTTGTGAATGGTGAACGAGTAGGTATTAACAAATCACGAATTTTACAAAACGACGATGTGATTTCCCTATGTCATCCAATGAACAAAGGTGGGTGCGAAGTTTAATTTGATATTTATGTTTTATGTATTAAAAATAGATCAACATTTGTATTCAAAGCATTTGTGTTCAAAGATCTCTGTCCAAACGAGGCATTGGGCTTACCGAAAGAAATTACAACTGCTTACTATGTAAGTAGAAAATTAGGTTCTGGTGCATGTGGATTAGTACGTCTGGTTTTTGATATACGTACTTGCGACCAATTCGCTATGAAAATAGTTAAAAAAAATCTACTTAGCGAATGTAGTGCTATCACTCGAAATAAGCCATCAAATTCGAATGATCCGGAAAAGGTTCTTAACGAGGCGAATATAATGAAGAGTCTGTCTCATGTAAGTTAAATGAAGGCGTACTCAAACAGGCGCGGTTCGGTACCACGCGGTATAATCCTGTATGGCATATTTGCTCATAACGTGCTATAAATAAATAAATAAAAATTGAATTTTTATTAAGCAACAGATATTCTACGAGATTGTACCGTACCACGTCTGTAATATATGTATGAGGGCAATATATCGTCGTTTAAAATACAAAGCCGCGTATCAATAAAATGCAAAACTGCGTATCAAGATAATGCAAAACCGCGTATGTGAATTATGTAAATTATTTTCATGAGGGTAAAAACACTCATATTTCAAAATGGTTCTCTTTTTTATAAAACAATCGCATATGTGGATGGTATATTACAGGATGAATGGATATGGATTGAGCCAAGAGCTTGTGTGAGCAAATCCAATTTTTGGCAGCTATTGTCAGTTATGCGGTTTTGAAGAATGACGATACGCGGTTTTGTACTTTAAACGACAATGTGTAGTTGTGTAGAACTATATTTTTGGTTACACAATAAACTTTGTTTTTTTACTTGCAGCCATGTGTCATAAAAATGCATGACATTATTGATAAGCCTGACTCTGTCTATATGGTGTTGGAGTTCATGAAAGGTGGTGACCTGCTCAATCGAATTGTGAGCAACAAAAATCTTACCGAACAGATATCAAAATTGTTCTTCTTCCAAATGTGTCATGCCGTCAAATATTTGCATGATAAAGGTATTGTATTCCTACATTTTTTTAAGAATATTGGCATTAAGTATTTGGATATAATTTGTAGGTATTAGCCATCGTGATCTAAAGCCGGATAATGTACTACTGGGTTCTTCCGACGAAGAAACTTTATTAAAAGTTTCCGATTTTGGCCTTAGTAAATTTGTACAAAACGATTCTGTAATGAAAACGTTATGTGGCACCCCGCTGTATGTAGCGCCTGAAGTACTGCAGACAGGTGGACGAGGAGCTTACACAAAGAAAGTTGACATCTGGAGTTTGGGCGTAGTGCTTTTTACTTGGTATTACTTGTGTTAATATGCTATATATTTAAAAACTAATTAAATAATTCCTACTCAGCTTAAGTGGCACTTTACCATTCTCGGACGATTTTGGTACTCCAGCCAGTGAGCAAATAAAACACGGCAAATTTCGTTTTAATCATCCATCTTGGAGAAAGGTATCTCAACGAGCGACTACGCTTATTAGAGAAATGTTGATTGTCGACCCAAAAAGACGCCCAACTATTGATGATGTCTTGAGAAGTAGCTGGTTGAAAGATAACGAAATGCTACGTAAAGCTAAAGCTTTGATGCAGTTGGACGCAATGGATATTGAGGAAGAAGAGAACTTCTTGCAGCCACCAAAAAAGCGCGCCAGGAGATAAATTATGTATTTTTACGCAATTCATATTCATTGGCCAGTATTGTTGAAGTGTATGTATGTCTAACGAAAGCTTTCGATGATATATGCGCGTTAAAGTCTTGGTTTTGCTTATTTTGTGCCCTTTTAAGTTGTTTTAATTACATCCCATGAAGTTTTGGATCACTACTATATGGATAATGGTACTTTTATTTTTAACATTAATATGAAATTATCTATTTGACATGCATGAGCACTCCTAACTGATGTTTTTTGCTAAATTCTACAACAAATTAGTTTAAAGGAGGATTCGAGTATGCATTTAAGTCGTAAATTATATTGTTTTTTTTTTTACAAACGGTTTACAAAAATGTTATGTGTAATTCGTTAGATTTAAGATAAATTTTTGAACTTAACGAACAAAAATACTTATGTGTCATAGTAGAAGTAAAATTTTGTGGTTGAGCGCGTTGCGTGCTACTTTAAATCTTTGTTAACGTGCATCGACGAAGCATATATTTAACAAAATATATCTTATCAGATGATGGTACAAATAGGATATTTACAGATAAAGTTTACACCTAGATTTATAAAAAATATGTGAATGTATCCAATAGATCAGTCTTTAAGTTATTTTCTGGCAGAAAGCACCAAGTTCGCCAGAGATCCGTTTATTTTATCCTAATGTATCCAATAGATCAGTATTTAAGTTATTTTCTGGCAGAAAGCACCAAGTTCACGAGAGATAAGTTCCCCAAACATTCAGGTATAAGTATTTAAGTATATGCCAGCATTTTAAAATCATTTATACTTGTTGCTTATTTTACATTCGAGAAGTAACCATCGAATGTAATATTTTTAATTCAAATATTACTGTATTAATAAATATACGGTTATTCAAAATCTTGCCCTCTCAATTTATTAGGAAAGTAGATCGGTGGGGTGCAATAAGGCCACACGCAATAAAGCCATATTGGAAATAAAGCCATATTTTTTTGGTAATTAGGCCATAAATTCGATATGGCTTTATTTCCAATTACAATTGGTAATTAAGCCATGTGTCTTTATTTCGCTTTCAAATTTTTATATTTCTTTTATTTAAACAATGGAAAAAGTTCGCAACAAAACTACTAAACCGCCTTGAACTACAACGTCACCTTAAACATGCAATTACTCTCCTTCGCGTCCAGCCGCGCTGCGCTCCGCCGTTCACACGCTGCGCGGGGGTCGCGGGCGTGGCGCGGTGCGGGGAGCCAGCAAATGTGCACCCGCCAGGTTATGCACTCGCAAAATTAAAACTTACCTAAGTACATATATTTATTTTCCAGTATCCAATAAATCGGGAAATATTTAGTAATTATTTATTTCATTTTATTAGTAATAATTTGTATCAATTCAAATAATTCAGTATCAATTTCAAGAGGGTTTCCAAGGCGAATTGAATAATGAATTACAACAAACACATCATTTGGAAGTAATCTAAGGCGAAAAATTCAGATTCGCCGGTAACGCCGCCTTATTAATTCGCCTTGAGAGTGTCATTTCAGAATATGGCTTTATTTCTCATTTGGAAAATTTTTTGTATGGCTTTATTTCTCTTTCTGATTGGAAATAAAGCCATAAAGCTTTATTGCCTAAAAATATGGCTTTATTGCCATACGGCTTTATTGCGTATGGCCTTATTGCACCCACCAAGTAGATCATATACCAACTTAGTGCATGACATTTTTATACCCGCGCGCACTTGTGCACAAGGATATTAATATATCCTTATATACTATGTTCGTATAACGTTTGTTTGTAACAGTCAAAACGAATCGAGATAGATATGGACAAATGTATACATAAATGCTCAGAATGAAAAGAGAAATTGATTAAGCCATGTCTGTCTTTCCGTCCGGCTGTCTGTCTGTGAACACCGTAGGTTGGTATTGAAAATGGGCGCAATCGGGATGTTGTTCTGTGATTCTTTCATGTAACGTCGTCTTCATCCTCCGACTCAGTAAGCCTGAGGCCGAGAAGGCAGGCAGCGTCGATAGGCGCGGTCCGGAGCGCTTCTGGTGTTAGGGGCGTAGGGTTGGAGGTGCATGTGAATAGGTGCTGGGTTGCCCACATGCGTGGCAGGTGTGCCACTTGTGAATTTGGTCGGGAGAGGTAACTGTTGAGTCGGTGACACCACCCCGAACGGAGTTGTGCTAGGGTACCAGGTCTCTCTCGGCAGTTCAGATTCCTATAAATTTATGGGCGGCGGTCGACCACCACAGACGATGTTGTCATTGCGGGTGCTGAGGCTCGTTCTGACCGCATCGCTGTGTAGGGTGTTGAGCGCCGCTCTGTATCTTGCTGCGTCGAACGGATGGTCTACGTACGGCTCAATGTCTGCCTTCCAGTCGTGCAGGTGCCAACTCACGTGTCGTGGGGGCGGTTCGTTTCGAAGCAAGGCGTTGTTGGGGTGGTTCTCTCGGTGACAACCCACGAGGAATTGCTTCGACAGCATGGTGTTGTGTTCTTTTACTGCAAGCATTTGGCTTTCTTCATGGAAGTGATCCTCGGACGACATGAGATGACAGCCTGTAGCCGTACGTAGAGCTGCGTTCTGGCAGGTTTGAGGATTCCTCCACCGGGTGTCGCTTGTCCCCGCCGTCCACACAGGTGCCGCGTAGTTTGCCACTGACCGGCCAATTGCCTTGTAAGTCGCGAGCAGAGTTTGTTTGTCGGTTCCCCAGGTGCTGCCGGCTAGCGATTTGAGGACTGCTTCTGGGCTGGAGTTTGTTATATATCGCTGTGGCATGCGCGGAGAAGGAGAAAAGGCTATCGAACGTCACTCCTAGGATTTTAGGGTGATTAGTCGTCGGTATTTTGGCGCCATCGACGAAGACGTCCAGTTCTAGCCCTACCTCCTGGGTCCATGCTGTAATCACGCCCACTTCCCATATAACAGTATTTTTGGAAAAATGGAAAAATACGATATTTCAGTAAATATTAGATGCAAATTGTTGAAAATTAGTGTGAATTAAAATTTTGGTATAAAGTAATATGAAATTTTGGAAAATGGGCGTGACCCCACCCCCTTATGATGAAATGCTGCATCACAGTAGCCGCTCCACCAATCCCTAAAAAACTTAGCCAAGAAATCTGTTGAAAATATTTGAAATCGGGCAATAACCACGCCCACCTGCCATATAACGGTAATTTACAGAAACAAGGAAACTGCGATAAATCCGTAACTACAGGAGCTAATTCACTTAAAAGCGAGGATTGCAAAAACCACTTAGCAGAAAATTAGAAAATTATAAATTTTTGGATAATGGGCGTGGCAATAAATAAGACTGCTATAGACTTTTAGGAATAGGGCGTGGCACCGCCCACCTTATGACTACAAAGGTGTATCTCGGTAACTCCTCTATCGATTTGTACCTAACTTGGTTCAATTATATCATTAGTATAACTCCGCATATTATCGAAAACGTTTGAAATCGGGTAAACACCCCTACCTATCATGCAAATGTAGTTCAGAGAAAGTTCAAACGACGACATTTGATACCTGTGCCGGGTATATAAAGTTCGGTTTTGCCCGAACTTATACTTCTTTACTTGTTACTTTTATTTTTATCTGTTCATCAGGCAAGAGCTTTGATTTCCAGCGGCTTAACCATGATACATGTTTCATGGGATTAACGCAGAAACAACAAGATATGTACTCGCGAGTTACTTCCTGTAATTTTAAATCCAATCTACAGCAAAAGCGTCCTTATCCCTTTCATACCACTTATTATATATTCAAAGAAAGGTAAAGCTCTCAGAATTTCTCTTTAATAAAGTAATGATTTATTTATTAAAATCTATGTGCAGCAAAACCAATTACATAATTTGTAAATGTTTTAGAGTATATATAAAAAAAAAAACAATGTAAAGTTACAGTTCAACTGCGATTGTAACGGTTCCCATCTCCACGGCGAACAACATCCTTGTACTCGTCCATACGACGCATGCGGTCTAAATACTCTGGATCATCATTCTCGATTTGCGCTTCCTCAATAGCCTGCTCCTGATCTTCTTTCTCATTGGGATCTTGTGCAGCAGCGATTGCTTGTTCACGATTCATTTTCGCAACTTTTTCTTCGTTAGGGAAAACGCCATCGCGCACACGTTGATCGTAAAACTCGTCGACGGTCAACACTGGCAAACTAGGATAACCTGCACCGAACACTGCCTTTTGTGCAGCATTACGTGTAATAATAAACGGTTGCATTGGCTTCCTCTTTGGTTGTAGAGTATCGTGATGGTGATGTTGGTGCTGATGAGAGTGTCCTGCATTCTGAGAGCTTGTAGCCGCAGATTCTGCACTGGAAGCAGTGCCATCGTGTGGCGATAAAGCACCATTACTTGCATTTCCACGAATTTTACGCAATTCTACCATTTGCTTTTCCAACTTAATACTATCCAATTCTTCATTTGCGTCAATTATGCTTTTATATATCAGTTTTAGGAAAAAATCCCTGCGCACTTCATCGTCAACGGTTTTACTGCGCACGGCTAATTTCATTTTCTTTACAAATTCTTCCAATTCCTTTTTTTTGCGAAATTGTGCAATTTTGTCATTGCGTACATGTGCTGCCCGCATTAGTTGTGCTAATTCATCTGTATTGCTACCTTCCGATTTATCTGAAATATTTTTTCGATTTTCACATAACTCATATTCTTCGCAGCGTTGCAAGAAGTCTCTGAAATTACAAACATATTTGCAAAATATAAAACTATTTTTGTAATTGCAGCTTACTTGAAATACACTTCGGCAATGTGCAGCACTTCCCCGCGGTCTTCCTGGTGCAATTTCAATGCCACTTTACCCAGAAAGAAAGGAAGCAGTAAATACTGCAATGAATCTGTTGACACTTCATCTATGAGTTCATTAGGACTGAATAGGGCAATTTTATTTACAAAAGTTGTAGAAGTTTCCAACATTGACATAGTATCCTTAACTTTGTGCTAGTGCATAAAAGGTTTAACTCATTAAAGCCGGTATATTTTTCCGACATATTGTGGTAATACTTACTTGATAATCCCTGGAATTAAAGGGTAAAGAAGATCCTTCTAATTCTTCGAATGCCTGCCATCCCTTTGTAAAAAGTGCTTGTAAACTTTGATCACTGTTTGCCTCTCCATCTGAATCTATTTCTTTTTCCGCCATTGTTTATTAATGGCTACTTCAACGCAAGAAACCTTTTATTTGTCGGGTTAGTATTTATTGTGAAAGTAATCTATTTGCTGGTCAACGGGAATATGCCACTACGGAATCGGGACGGTTGCAGGGCGTCATTGGCAGCAGAAATACTTGCCTTGAACGAAAGACACAAGATCACGTAAGAACAAGAGAGTGAAAAAAGTCGATTTTTTTTTAGCGGGTTCTACATCATCTTGTTTCACTGGAAAACGAGCGAAAAGTAAACAAAGCAAAGAAAACAACGAAAACCAAAATAAGCCAAAATTATTGTCAGCCACTTTAAACGCACAATTTAGGTAAAATGATGCAACAAATTCTTTAAAATGTGTTGTCATGTTGAATTAACTCTTCTTTACTTGAATAAAAGTGTAAAATAGTGGTGCTTGTGATGTAAACAAACGCTCAGCTGACGAGCCCGCTTTCGCATATCGCCATTTAAGGCAGGGACGTGAACCAGATGAAAATTTGGTCGGTTCGGTTTAGTGGTTCGAACCGTTTTTGCACTTTTGGATTGGTTCATCAAAGCGGTTTTTGGTCTTTGAACCGGGGTTTCGGTTCGGTTCGGTTCGGTTCAACAGTTCGAAAAACAAAAAAATAACGCGCAAGTTTAAGGGCCGGTTGCTCAAAGCCTGATTGACACTAATCACCGATTAACATCGTTATCGACGTTTTCGGCTCCATGCAAATAACATGGTGTCGGTAACGTCGATAACGATGTTTAACCGGTGATTAGTGTCAACCAGGCTTTGAGCAACCGGCCCTTAGTGTCAAGTGTCAAGTGCAACAACGCGCAAGGTTAAGGGTCAAGGGTCTGTCAAACGAGATGGGTTGCCTTACATTTGATATTGTCACATGGTAAACAAACATGGTAGGTATTACCATGTTTACCAAAAAGAAAAAAGTGGGTACATTTATCTATTGAAAATTGGTTGAAACGAACCTTTAAACCTTTGTAGAAAGTGGTTCGGTTTTCGGTTCTGACCAAACATTTTAGAGGTGGGTAACTCAGCACTGTGCTGAGTTACTGTGCTGACTCTTAGAACTGTGCCGCAAGCTCAGACTCACCTCTGAAAAAATTTGTAACTCAGTAACTCAGTTTATGTGCTGACAATGTATAGCTCAGTGTGCTACAGAGTCGATATGGTAACTCAGTTGATGTGCTGACACTTGCATAGCTCGGTGCGGCTTGCATTGTTTAGAACTGTGTCGATGTGGTAACTCAATTGATGAGCTCACACATTCACACAATATGCGCGTTCCTTATCTCCCAGAAATAGTCAGAAAAAGTCCGAAGTAGTCAGATTTAGTCCAAAAAGCGTTCCTTAACTCGGAAATGACAGCAAAAATGAGAGAGCAACAGTCAGTGAGAGCGACTCTCATCAGTCCGAAGTAGTCAGATTTAGTCAGAAGAATTTTTTCTGGCAAAATCCTGAAAAGTGTCAAACTCAACTGAATTTAAATTAACGGAAATTAAAGAATTCGCTAAAAGTGAGAATAATCTAAAAAGTAAAAGAAATGAATTGAAATTGGAAGGAGGCAAAAAATAATTGATATAGCAAGTGTTTATTGTGCTTGTGCTTGTGTGAATGTGTTTTGTACATACATTTCTGTTCTTATTTGACGTTAGTTTTGTTGTTGCCATTCTTTGGACTAAAAATTTGGTTTTTTGCGTTCCTTTACTTTTCCTGCTACTCTCTTTTAGCGAGCGCATTTTGCTTACGCTCTGGCATTTTTAAACTTTTCAGATTTTAGTCCAAAAAAAAAGGAATGAACCTAATACGATCTTCCAAAGAGTACCATAATAGATGGCATCACTAGACTAACCATCAATTGAATATACGACTACCAAATTTAAAAAGAAGCAAGGCGAATAGCCAAGTTATGCATACTTGCACTGCTATACCATTTTTACGTAAAAATCAAAACCAAACAGAATTCTACATGTGAAGTGCTATGCGTTGGGTAACCGCTTACATGCATAGCCCATTTAACAGATTCTTATGTGACAACTCTCAGGCAACACTAAGTAGGGAATTATTTTGCAAATGAACTCACCAGTTGAAATCAGCTTTGTAAAATTTTTCCGGCCAGCTACGAACAGAAGCTAAGGATAATCTTTTCTAAATCGATTTCGATTACTAACATCATCAATAATTTCGATGTACATACCAATTGTGCGATAGCACACTTGTGCCAGCTCACTGTGCTGACTCATTAAAGTGAGTTGGAGTTACTGAGTCAGCACACGAAAATTTACAGAGTTACCCACCCTTAAAACATTTGTGGAAAATTTCGGTTCGGTTAATGGTTCAGTTAATTAATAGAAAAAAGCGGTTTTCCGGTTCAAAACCGGTTCGGTTCAAAACCGGTTCACGTCCCTGGTTTAGGGCCGGTTACTCAATGTCTGGTTAACGCTAGTCTCCCGTTAAACATAGTTATCGACGTTACCGACTCCCTGTTGTATGCATGGAGTCGAAGACGTCGATAACGATGTTTTACCAGAGATTAGTGTTAACCAGACATTGAGTAACCGGCCCTTAAAGTACAAAACCGCGTATCGTCATTCTGCAAAACCGCGTAACTGACATTGGCTGCCAAAAATTGCATTTGCTTACACAAGCTCTTGAAAGTAATATTGAGTAATTCCTAAACTTAGGGCCGGTTGTTCAATGTCTGATTAGCACAAATTGGAGGTAGAAGCTCTGGTTAGGTACAACGACTGCTTTATCGATCACATGTTATATGCTTGATGTCGAAATCGTCGATAATGATGTTTAACCGGCAAGTAGTGATAACCAGACATTGAACAACCGGCCCTTAGTATACGCACATATGTGTGCATTTATAGGGAATTTACATGAGGCGATTTTTCAGGCGATTTTTAGTTGAAAGCAACAATCGCCTGGTGTAAACGGCCTTTCAACTAATCGCTTTCAATGAAGTTGGTCAGCTGCCTACTTTCGTTCAACTTTTGGTTCAACTAATCGCCTGTGAAAGTTGAATCATGTAAATTCCCTATTAGGTGAAGTAATAAAGCAGCCTTCTTTTTTAATTTCCCTGACATTCGGCTATATTATACAATAGCGTGAAAATCGTATTATAATACAACGTTCACGCCCGACATTTTGCTCAAAAGGAATTGCCATAACTATTGTCAGGACGCCGACGCGACGGAGACAATTATCAGCGTTTTTGACGGGGAGTCAGTCTCGAGTTATGTAGACTCTAGACCTGTGAATGCCGTTCTAGGCATACCGCCGATGGACATAGACGAGACGGAGCTTCATCTGCCTCGGGAGACACGTACGACAATAGCCCAACTTCGCTCTGGCTACTGCAGCAGGTTAAACTCCTACCTGAGTAGTGAGTAGATTGAATGAGGATGTGCCAAATGAGTGTCCGCTATGCGGAGAAATCCCACATGACTCGAAACATCTCTTCGTATGCCCAGAAAACCCGACAACCCTAACGGCCCTGTCCCTGTGGACCAACCCTACAGAAGCTGCACGCTTCCTGGGGCTGCCGTTAGTGGAACTTGACGACAACGACTGTGATACCAACCGTCCTGGGCGGAGTTGTTGTAGCCGCTACAACAACAGCGTTTTTGACAACTAATAGGTATTTCTTTATTGTCTTGACAGCATTGTCTGGACAATGGAACATCCACCAATTTTTTTAAAAGTTTCATGGTAACTCTGTACCACATCTGTGAATTTTGACGTTTGTGGGCAATGATTTTCTTTCGTTTCACTAAACGTAAACAAAAATAAAAATAAAGGGCGAAAGAGTACTAATTTTTTTAAACGCCTGCGAGCTATTTAATTAACCTTTATCTTATATACATTTTAAAAAATATGGGTGATTATGATTCTGATGACGAAAAATCACAATTAGAAAAGCTGCGCTATGCGAAAGTTCCGCGCGGAATGTTTGTGAGCGGATGGGACGATGATGCTGATGAACTAATTGAAGAAGACAAAAATCCACAAGGTAAGCCCTGATGAAGCATAGACAAATATATATGTGAGCATAATTATTTCAATTGCTATTAAACTATATCCTTAGCAAGCATCGAGCGAATGATTCTATGGGCTGTAAATGAAAATAAAATAAATGAAGTTCGAGACATTCTAAAACTGGACGCCGAAACTGTTTCTGCAATAGACGACGATGGTTATACGCCTTTGCATCGGGCATGTTACAATAATTTCGTAGATATTGCCAAATTATTGTTGCAGTACAAGGCCAATCCAAATGCACGTACAAATTTGGGTTGGACGCCTTTACATTCAGCATGTAAATGGAGTAATGCAGAATGTGCTGGGTTACTTCTACAACATGGGGCTGATGTGAACGCCAGATCTGAAGGCGATCAAACTCCACTACACGTGACAGCAACCGTGTCCAACTGTCGCAATACGGCGACAGTACTTTTAATGAACGAAAATATCGATACGTCGGCGTTAAATAATTCCGAAGAGACGGCTGAGGTAATTGCGCGTCGTACTGGACTAACATTTCCTGTATTTGAAATGGGCCACCCGGCGTATGAAGTTGAAACCGGTATAATTGATTAAATGATGCTGCTCTATTAAAGCAAAAGCTCTAATTTAAAGTACTTTTTTATTTTTATTATAAATTAAAGCTACCTTTGTGTTATTAAAAAAACATTACTTAGTTTTCATTTAAGCAGAGTTCGCGATTCGAATAAAAATTAATTTTACATTCTAAATAAATGTTTAGTAAAAATATTACTTGATACTCTTTTAATTAATTAAAACTTAACCAGCTTGTGGATTGCGTAAAAAGTGTTCGTAGTACGATTTTGTATAGTCGACCATCTGATCTTGCATTGCTGCTGGAACAAAATTGGGGTTACCTTGCCCGCCTTCGATTGTACCTTCAGCTGTGTACCGCATATAACTTGCAACTGTTGTCTCTGGTGGTAGTACCGCACCGTCTTCAATGATGCTGCAGTCTTTCAGCACACAACGACGACCCTATGTGAAAAGTCAAGTAGAAAGAAATAATAAAATTTAAAATCTGTAATATGTGGTTGTTTTTACTTACAATTATTGCATTCTTTCCAATATACACAAATGATCCAATAGAGCTCGCTGATACCACTGCACCATCACCAATGAAGACGTGGTCTCCAATGTGCATAGGAAAGAAAGCTATACCTTTGCTGAACTGTTTGTATGGTGGTCGGATGACGGCATTTTTGCTTATAACACAGTAGCGACCCGTACGAACGTTTGCTAAATCACCTCTTATTATGGCACCGGTTTGTACTACAACCTTTCCATTTAGCACGATATTTTGCGAGCCGCAGAGAACAGTTTGTCTGCTGACCTTGTTTCCCGAAGCCTAAAATCGGAGACTTTAAAGAACTTATCCAGCTTTTATATTTTGGATGATGCTTACAGTTTCTACGTATTCATCCTTACTGTAATATAAATCAGATATTTCCATGTTGATATTTTTACAGTTTCCGCTTGTGAAATGTGCAATTTTCAAGTGACCAACCTTTTTCCCTAATTTGTTAGAATGATGAACTAATCAGCTGTCTTTGTATGCTACATGGTTGCCACAATTCGGAACTTTCTAACAAAATTGGTGACTTTTAAAGGATTTGGTAACTTGGTAACTTTTGCAACCAAACATCTATTTGCATCATGAACGAAAGACACAAGATTACGTAAGAACAAGAGAGTGAAAAAAGTCGATTTGTTTTAGCGGGTTCTACGCCATCTTGTTTCACTGGAAAACGAGCGAAAAGTAAACAAAGCAAAGAAAACAACGAAAACCAAAATTAGCCAAAATTATTGTCAGCCACTTTAAACGCAAAATTTAGGTAAAATGATGCAACAAAATGTGTTGTCATGTTGAATTAACTCTTCTTTACTTGAATAAAAGTGTAAAATAGTGGTGCTTGTGATGTAAACAAACGCTCAGCTGACGAACCCGCTTTTGCAAACTTTTTTCTCAAAACCAGCTACAAATACAACGTCGCGTTCTTACGTGATCTTGTATTTTTGGTTCATGTATTTGCATTACTAGAAAGAAATGAATTATGTTTTGCCTGTGCGTAATTATAAAAATCCTTCGAGTTCAGTGGCAGCACTACTGACACTTCTACAATTTATGCTTGAAACACAATACCCGGCGAACGGCAAATTTCGCCCAGCAGAGCGATGCCGACGACCAACTTTCGCCCAGCTAATTCGCTTACTGAAACACAAATAGAGCGGTTCGATTGCTGTCAGCTGATAAGGTGATCATGTTTCAAGACGGAAGCTTTTACAACGAAGAGGGAAAATACCGGCAAGAAGAAGTTTAAAATATAGAAATAGTCTTTAAATATAACTACTAGTAAACTTACGTTTTACTAGATTAATCTCTGATAGAAAAATATAAGGTATATTATTTTACTTTTAAACAAAAATTACGATAACTTTTAAAGTATGGTCATCATGGCCTTTTTTTGTCGTTGCCGTTGACCGCGGCGATAGAAATAAATCTATCGTCGCGAACAGTCGTCGAGCAAACTTCGTTGTTGTTGTTGTTGTTATTGTTGTTGTTGTTGTAGCGGCACTACTAAGCCCCGCCTGTTTCGGGTCAACTTTTAATCATTATCGTCAAGCTCAACTAACGGTAGGCCCAGGAAACGAGCTGTTTCGATGGGGTCGGACCAAAGGGAGAGGGGTGTTAGTTGAGTCGGATTGAGCTGGCATGTGAAGAGGTGGTTGGTGTCGTGGGGGGAGTCTCCACATGCCGGGCACTCATTTGGGATGTTTGGGTCGAGTCTGGACAGGTAGCTGTTTAGGCGGGTACAATATCCAGACCGTAACTGAGTCAGGGTAACGCGGGTCTCTCTAGGTAGTTGAAGCTCCGTCTCTTCCACAGGTGGTGATTGGGCTCCGATAACGACATTCTTAGGCCGGGAGTCGAGGTAGGTGGAGACTGACTCCCTATGAATGTCGTTAATCGCTTGTCTGTACGTCATTGGGTCAGTGGTTGGTCTGTGTGGGTCTGGACTGCGTCCTTGTACACGAATAGGTGCCCCCTGACGTGCCTGGGCGGAGGCTCCTCCTCCAGCAGTGGTCTGTTGGGGTGTTCGCTTCTGTGACACCCCACCAGAAACTGCTTACAGAGCATTTTGTTGTGTTCCCTTACGGGGAGCACTTGGGCCTCGCTGTGTAGGTGGTGCTCAGGCGTCATCAGAAGGCACCCAGTCGCTGTCCGGAGTGCGGCGTTCTGACAAGTCTGTAGCTTCGTCCACTGCGTCCAACTAGTCCCCGGCGACCAAACTGGCGCTGCATAATTTAGAACCGGCCGGCCAATGCCTTGTATGTTGCCAGCAACGTTTCTTCGTCTTTGCCCCAAGTGCTGCCGGCGAGCGACTTGAGGACCTTGTTGCGGCTCTGTACTTTGTTGACAACTGCGGTTGTGTGCGCGGAGAAGGAGAGCAGGCTATCAAAGGTAACCCCTAAAATTTTTGGGTTGTTCACCGTCGGTATAGGTGTGCCGTCGACGTGAATGCCTAATTCTAGCCTGACCTCCTTCGTCCAGGTGGTGAAGAGGGTCGCCGTTGATTTCGTTGGGGAGATGGTTAGGCTCCTTGCAGTGAAGAAGCGAGAAAGGCTGGAGAGATAGCCGTTTACTTTTGAGCAGAGGTCATCAATTCCATTCCCAGACGCCAAAATCGAACAATCATTAGCGTACGAGATCAGGGAAACTCCTTCAGGAGGCTGGGGGAGTTTCGAGATGTAGAAGTTAAAAAGTAAGGGGGAGAGAACACCACCTTGTGGAACCCCTTGTTTTATTCTTCTTGGTTTCGAGGTTTGATCTCTGAAGATTACTGATGATTGTCGACCACTCATATAATTCGCCGACCATCGCTTCAGTCCCTGTGGGAGAGAGGAGGCCTCAATGTCTTCTAGCTGCGTGGAATGGCAGACGGTTGATGTTTCGCTGGGGTTAGGTGGCAGGTGAAGTATGGGAGCAGCAGGGCCTCAAGTGTCTTCGCGACCGGGGAAAGAAGCGTTATCGGGCGATAAGAGTCTCCTCTGTTGGCGGGCTTCCCCGGTTTCAGCAGTGGGACCACTCTCCTTGATTTCCACACATCAGGAATGATGAGAGTGGTCATAGACAGATTGAGGACCTCCGTGAGGTATGCTACTCCCACAGGCCCCAAATGTTTCAACATCAGCATACAGATTCCGTCGGGTCCAATGGCTTTGGAGGCTTTCGCCTTCCCGATGACCCCCTTCACTTCACCGCTGGTGAAAGCAAGTGGTGCACTGTTTTTGGGCAGTTTGTGCAGCCTCCTGGTCACTCGAGGTTTGGCCTTGTCTACCGAAGGATGAAGTGTGAATTGCCGACTGAAATAGTTCGCGCTTTTCTTCGGGTCCGACGAAGCGTGAACTTCGAATGAGATTTCCCTCTGTCATCACGCTTCGTCGGGTTGGACAAGGACCTCACGGTTGACCACAGCTTACTCACACCAGAGGTGAAGTTACAGGCCTTCAAGTGCTCTTCCCACTTTTTCCGCTTGTGTTGATTTACCAGTTGCCGAATCTCCAAATTAAGATCCCTCAAGCGAGGGTCCCCGGGATCGACCTGGCGTAGGTGGTCACGCTCATTGGCTAGTACAGCCGCTTCAGCCGGGAAATTTGGGCGGACTACCCTGCGGAACTGGCGTTCGCCAGCATGTACGTCTGTGGGTGTGGGGAGGGCGGCGAAGCTGCTCTCGGTAACTTCCGCGAAGCCGTTCCAATCAGCTTTGTTGAAGTTGGTGTAGGTTCGGTGATCCGCGGGAGCAAAGTCGGTGGGCTTATTGATCGAGATGATTATGGGCAGATGGTCTGATGCTAACGTTAGCATAGGTCTCCATGATATGCTATTTATCAGACCAGCGCTAGCAATTGTTAGGTCTGGCGAACTGCTGCAGCTGCCCACAATCCTGGTGGGGGCGTCGTCGTTCATGGTGCAGAATGTCGAATCGTCTATCTGCTCAGCCAAAATGTTTCCCCTCCGATTATTGGCCAGGCTTGAATGCCAAAGATCGTGGTGCGCATTGAAGTCACCTACTACCAATCGGTTTTCGCCTCTGAGTAGCGCACCTATGTCAGGGAGATATCCAGCCGGGCAGCAGGTGACAGGGGGTATGTACACGATAAATATTTCGAGGTCGACATCGCCTGACCGGACAGCTATGCCCTGACTTTCTAGGGTAGTGTTCCTTGGGTCGATGTCTTCTTCGATTAGCCAATACTGCACTGTGTGGTGTAGAATGAACGCTAATCCTCCACCATTATCTCGCTCGCGATCTTTACGGAGCACATTGTAGGCGGCGCAACCCAACAAAGTTGAGTTGCTGTGCAACTTCGTTTCTTGGACCGCAGCTATCAATATGCCGTGCCGACCCATGAAGACTGCTATCTCCTCAATCTTGCTCTGGAGTCCGTTGCAGTTGAGTTGGAGTACGTTCGTATGCCTTGGGAGGCTGGTCGCGATACGGGGAGTGAGGGAAGTGTGGGGCCTACCTTGGGCCTGTTGCGCCTGACGCAGTTGCTGTTGCAGCCTGATGGTAGGTGGCTGCGATGTGGGCGTTGTTGTCTGCGCCGGCGGTGCACTACAGCAAGGGGCGCTGTAGTTGGTAGTCCACTCGCGAGTGGTGCGTAGACCAGAACATAGCCGGAAGTGGCACCAGCCAAGGCATGTGTTGCATTTGACTGATGTCACATTCCGGTATATTCTGTTCTGGCACACGGAGCAGATGGTGTGGGCAAGCAGTAGCAGCTGGTTGGCTCGCGCTCGCGAGTGGGACCGGCCGGTAGGTTGTGTGGGTGGGGTGTGTTGGGAGGTTTGCTGTTGCTCAGGGGAGCTTCTGGGGGCCGTGCAGGCTCTTCGGGTGCTAGGTCGCACCCGTGCATTACGCGAGTGGGTAGCCGTGGAGGCTGATAGTGTCATTTGGCTTGAGCAACAGGGAGCCACAAAGTTTGTGGTCCACTCCCGGTGAGATCTAAGGCCAGAGCAGGTTCTTAGGTGACTCCATCCGTTGCAGGAGTTGCACCTAACCGAAGTGGAGTTCAGGTGGAGTCGATTCTGGCAAACACAGCAGAAGTAAATTTCTGGTCCGGGGTGGGGCTCTACGCCCGCCCGGAGAAGAAGGATGCGGAGCAATCCGGCTGCAAGGACGGCTCCATGGACGAATAATGATTGGCGGGTATCGCCGATCTAGACGGGGTTAGATCGCCGAAACAACAGCCCTTGGTCTGGTAAAACCCGAGTCATTCCGGTACGTAGAACCGGCTGTCGTGGGATTGGAGCAAACTTCGTCGTTTGCTTTGGTTGTACGCGTTCTCATGTAAATCAGTGTGTTTTAATTATCTCGCCGGTGTTGTGCTTCAGCTTTTACTTCGATAAAATTAGAGTCATCTCATATTCGAATACTGGAAATATTTGAATTACAGTGGCAGCACCACGGACTGCACTTCTGAAACAACTTTCTTTTTTTTTTAGGCTTATGGACCCTATAGTTACGGTGACCATAAATATATTTTGAAAATGCAGGACAGTTTTTAAAAAAATGTATC